TTGATATTGAACCAAACAGTAGACATGTGAGCATATCAACTATAATATTTACTCTGATAAAATCATATATCTCTCCTTTGAATTTATTACAGATCACATGGGCAAGGCATATATGGAAAGCAACAAAGGATCAACTGGTAATAGAAGAAGATGCTGCTTTGTTACAACATCGTCTTATATCTACAACATTAATACCAACATCTGGTTTACTTCATAAAATCATCAATAATATTAACACTAATATTCAAAAACTCAATGATTCCTTAACAAAATCAACAACAACTTATAGTTCATCGAACTGCATTGAAACGCTGATAAATTTGAAGAAAGATATTATTCAAGAAGCTATCTTTATCCATCAGAAAGAACATGAACAAATCCAAACAATTATACATACAGAACAGAACAAGTTTTTTGTTCAAAATAGATATATGGAATCAACATCTGAATATCAGAAACGCGTGAATGAAGCTATCGAACAACGCAGACAACATATGATCGAACGTGCAAACTATGCGAAACTATTCCTTTTATCAGCATCATTCAATCTAACAGTTAATCCACTATCAACGAACGATTCATAGAAATCACTTCAAAACTTAACATACATCTGAATTTTCTTCTAAAATACATCTTATTTCATTCAATCAGTTCAAAGCCCTTCGCCATTTTCTATCTTAAATCCATATAAGCTTACGCCTTCTAAAGTTTATTCTACTTTTAGATCTATGACTCAATTTCAGAGAAAAACATCAATTAAAAAGAATTATTACTCAGCCAAATACTGTCTAACAAACAACAGTGATACTGTTCCACAACACACAAATCTTCAAATGTTCAATCAAATGATGTCATGCAACAGCAAAAACCTACAAACTCTTCCCTTTCATAAAAACCCTATTCAATCGGCCTTTTATTCGTCATCAGCAATAAAGTGAGTAAACACAGCTTCATAATTTTCTCCTAGTTTACATGACTTCTCATTCCATATTATTATTTTCTTGCTTTGCAATGAAGTCATGATACTAGATCCGAATTCAGAGTAATAAGCGATTTGACAATCAATCTTACTACGTTCAAAAATCTACATAGCAGCATCTATCCTCCGAATTTTTCAAAGCGATAAGTTTTGAATTTGCAATTTTAGAGCTTTTTAGCTTTGATTTTGTGAATTTTGGATTTTTAACAGAGTAATTGTTCATTTGAAATGATTTTTAAGGATTGAATTTGATTTTTATTGAATTTAATCATTAGAAATTGTTTTTATGAATAGATGCCATTTGATAAGTCTCTGATAAAGACGAAACTAGTCATGGCAGCTTGCACTCACCCTCACCCTCACCCACACCCTCAAGAAACGCTTTGACACATTCCATGTGACTACTAATTCAGAAATATTTTAAAAGAAATAACTCTTTTTTTTGTTATTGAAAATATCTAATATCATTATTACTGTCGAACATTTCTTTAGAATTACGTAATGCAAACAACAGTCAAATTGCCTCTGTTCCAAACGAACCATTACCTGAAAATGTCGAAAATGAAGTCAGTATCGATTACTTGTTAGTTGATTGCATTGTAACTACAAGTCAATCATCATCAATTCTATTTAATCCAACAAATATAATTCCAAGTAAAATATCAATGAATTCAAATATTTCCGAGTACAATAACTTGACCCAAAGAACAGAAGGTCGACGAAGACGAAAACGACGAATAGTGCTAAAACAACTGCATGAAAGAAGACGTCACGAGCGTCGAAACGCAGAAAGAAGACATGCAGAATATCAGCGCTGGGAAGAACATCTGCTACCACTGGAATTAGAAAAGGAAGATCGTGTCTATCTAGGATGGTATCATCCAGCTCCCCAGAAGGAATCAATAGACGATACCTACAACAGGCACTTTCTAGAAGCATACAATTGCGAAATAATGGATCCAAAAGAATGATGGGAAGAAGAGCAATTAAGTGAATTAACAGACAGTCACGTTTTACAACATCTACGGCAAATAGAAGACGAAATTGATGCTGTTCAAACGATCACTGATGAGTTAATAGCAGAGCATCAGTTAGAAAGAAATCATGAAGATTTGATTCAACTCGAACAATGGGAATATATCGCAATTTTACTTCCACAATTCAATCAAATGTAGATTATGCACATTTTCAATTTTGGCTTACAGCACTTATGCATTTGTATTGATGTTTTATTCGAAACTACATAGACTGACTTCTGATTTAAAACTGAACTTTAGAAAAAATAAATTATCTCTGCTCATTTTTACATTTTAGATTATCTATTATATTTGCACAAACACAACTACAGTCTTCAAATGGCTACGGATAATTCAAACAATAATACAACTCTTGATATCGCCCTAGAAGAACTGCTCAATAATACAGAATTCCGTCAACAATATGATACAACATATGTACGACCAACTACAACAGAAATAGAAACAACAGGCAGCGGTAATACTATTCATGCACATGAAAACGTCTCATCTACTGAAACAACACCTAATTCATTGAATATTGCCCATCTTCACGTAAATATGATATTCACCTTTCTCCATACAAAAGAAATAAATATTACTATTTTCCTTATACTAATATAGGAGTCTCAAGCGCATGAGAAAGAGAGCTCCATTCGTTCGTGTCAATCACAAAGTAACATTTCAAAACAATACATTAACTTTTATCTGACCTTCAAATTTGCGCTTAGGTCAAACAACCAAAGAAGTATACTCATCTCTTGATGACATAGTTGAAATCATTACAATACATGATAGCGAAATTATTCCACCATCCACATCGATGGAACAGACAAAATTTCCAACACCAATGAAAGCATCCACAGGAATACACCCAATGACTTCACCACTAATATCAACCGTTACTCAATCTCCAAACACACCATTCATGCAATCAATTGGTACCATGCCCATCACTCCCACAGGTTATAAATCAATAGGGACCTTACCAATGACACCTCCAGGTTCCAAAACCACCGGTACAATGACAGACCCACCAATCAGTACGCCAGCGGATAACTTGCAACCGAACCTACAATCCACAACCATCCACGCTGACATATCCAATCACGGATCAACGGCGATTGCCTTAACCATCCAACTTAATTCCTCTAAATCACCAACAGAAACTCAACATGTCAGCTAAACGAACATTTCACAAAGCCCATCTTAATAACTAGCTCATTTTTTCTACCTCCTTATAATTCTACTTCACTTATCATCCTTATCTTTATTATATGCATAAACCAAATAAAATTCTTCAAGGTAAAAACCGTTCACAGCACAGCTAACTAATCACTTCTACATTTCAGATAATCCATTTAAAATCATTATCTGCCTAGCCACTTGATAAGAATCACAGTATATTCGAAAGAATTTTATTCTTGTGGTAACTAATCTCACACCCTCACCCTCACCCCTCAGCCATATCTTCTTCGATAAGAATAAGAGCATGATTTATACTTTTTTCATAATTCATACTAGACATATTCTCACTTAAGTGATTCTGTAAAGAACCAATCGACTATATGTGCTGTTAAGTGTAAGATAAGAGTACTAATATTCTATTAGTATTCGTGTCTTCAAGCCAACAGATAATATTAANTTTTGTTATTGAATAAAATGGTTTCAAAAGAGAATCGTTGAGAAGTCACGTGTTTCATAAGTTCATCGTCGTCGTAATCCCTTAACCAATTCTTTGAATATTTTCATATACAAATTCGAAGGGAGAACAAATATTAAAAAGATCAACATAGGCGGAGTAAATGAAATAAAATATCCGCTCAAATACAACCACACATTCTGAGATTTTTTTAAACATCCAGGTAGTAGTGAAATAACAAGACGAGGAAATGTTAATATCAGTAAAATAACTGGACTGATCACTAATTGTTTATGTTCATGAAATTGTTCGCGAATATGTTTTTTATAGCTTCGAGCAGCTTGAGCCGCTGACCGTCGTCGAGCAACACCGAAAATGATATATAAAGCAGAAAAGAGATTAATAATAAAAGGAGTAACAAGATGAAAAAATAGAATGATTGTATTATAACTTTGAACAGTCGGAGGATAGCGCGTGATACACCATGTAAATCGTTCTACATTATCATTGCTGATCTTGTCTGGCTCTGTTTGATATTCAAATAATTTTCGATAAATAAGTTCGTGGATCAGAGTAATTGTGATACAAAATGGTAAAGTTGTAACAATCCATCGAGCTATTTGTTTACTTTTCTCTTTCTTAAAACTGACTCCTTTAAGAACATGAATGGCACGTTCAATAGAAACACAAACATTCAACCAACTATCAGAACAGACACACACTTTTAGAATAGTTTCGATTGATTTACAACCTATACGAAGAACTAAAATATTTGTCCATCCGTTGATTTGAGAAAAAACAAGAAACCAGAATTTTACAACGAACATGGCGATTGTGAGAAGAGAAGTGATGGATAATGCAAGAAGATATACTCCACATCCAACGTTTTGTGCATCTTTATGTCTGAATATGAAAAAAGAAAAAATGGTGTTGATGGAACTTGCGATAAACATAATAATTGTTAAAGCTGCACTTATTTGGATGGAAAATGATTGTTTGTTTAACGGCGTATTTGGTTGAAGCAGATCGTTTAAAATATCGTCCAAAGTTAAGCCGACACCTTTGACATGAGAGTTACAAAGATGGCCAATGATGCAACTACTCTCTTTTGTACCTTATATATTATATAGAAAATTTTATAACTTCTATACTGGAGCAAGACAATAGACTCACTGAAATAAGTTAGACTGACATTGGCTGGTCCAGATACGAAAACAGAAAAATTTCCTGTTGTCATTGGACGATATGTTGTCACCACTAATATATATTTCATATTGATTTGAAGATCAATGACGAATTTAAACTGTCCATTATTACATTTACCATCATGTACAGCGAGCAGATTTTTGAGAGGTTCGAATGGATTAAAATCATGTTGATATATATACCCATATGTATTCACATTACTCTCACTCCATATAACATATACGTCTCGTTGAAATAAATTAATCTGCAAAGCTTCATAATAACATTTGGGCATATTACAATCTCGATAATACAATGAGCTGTCGACATGGAATGCTGACAAATGTGTTACTTGAACATTTACTGGATTGCCTAGAAATAAAGTTAGCATAAAAATCTTCGAGATGATCAACTTAGTACGAATGAAAATGCAAAAACTAAACGATGCAACGAATTTAACTACAAAATCATTCGTTGGCGAAGATTGAGAGAAATTTTCTAAAGTTATTTCTTGAAAGTTTTATTGAAATTTATCAGCATTTATTTAGATTCTGAAAGAATATAATTTCAAGATATTCTCCAATACTATTAAAACAATTTTTTTAGTTTACCTACAAGAATGAAGATATAAGAGTTCTAAATCAATGAATTGCTTGCGTCTAGTCGATAAAAAATCCTTACAATGAGTATATCTATACTCTCAGTTTGTAAAGGATCTTTTTGTAATTCTATTTCATATTATATATAGATTATATACTCACTAAGTTTTTTGAGAAGAACGGTGTTTATTCCCAAAATGGCAATATCAAATGTTCCACTCTCTCTTGGTGAATACGTTGTGACAACTAATATATAAGTTTTATTAGCTTGAAGAAAAACATCAAGTTGGAATTGATTAGCAGAACCACTTTGATCATCTTCTTTAAGTATGTTTTCAAGTGGATTAAGTGCATTAAATATTTTTTCATAGATATAACCATAGGTGTCCATCCCGCTATAAGTACGAAAAGTATAATATCCATTTTCGATTACATAGATTTGAATAGATTCATAATAAAAGTTTGGTATATTACAATCTCGAAAATAGATTTGGTTTGCTTTGGTCAACGACGAATGATATACTAATTTCAGAACCAGTGATCCATAAACTACAAATAAGTCATATTAAAGGTAAAATAGTTTGGAAACATCCAAGTATTTTTATGTCTCTGAAAATACAGCTATATTGATCAATTAATAATATTTTTTGAGATATTTTCCATTTACTTTTTTAAAGAATTAAGCAGTGTATTTTAGGCACGTTATCTCTATAAGAAACTCTGATTCATATAATAACACTGAGTTCGTCGGCGAAAGTCTCATTTTTCTCTCTGATTTTATGCACTAATATTTTAATTATTATTATTGAATCATTGTGAAGGATCGAGTACAATTGTCTAACAGATGGTATCATGAGTATCATTCAGAAAAATACTTGAAAGTTTTATAGAATAAAGATAACAACTAAGGGTAATCAAGTTCAAGCTCACGAGCCCCGCTTAAATGAGTTAAGGAACTGCCCACAAAGCTCATTTCAACGAACTGAGCTCATTAAAACAGTTCAGTTCACATGAATTGAACTTATGGAGGGTACCCTTGGGTCCTCAAGTCCTATACTACGTGGGTACCCTTGGCTTCTCATGGCCCACACTATAGGTGTACCCTTAGCTCCTTATAGCCTATACTTTGCGTATACCTTTGGGTCTTGAAGTCCTATACTATGGGGGTACCTTCGGGTCCTCGTAGCCTATACCACACTGTAGAAAATACGGAAACTTCGCACTGTAAAAAAATAAGTTTACTACGAAACCCATCGAAAAGGTTCCGTAGGTGTTGAATAGCTTCCAGATGCGTCAACGTGTCGAAAAAAAGGGTTGTCAAAATTGGGGAGACCTGAGA